AATTGGAAAATTAACTGCGATGATCATTCTTCACTTTCATCTACAACCGCAGTTCATATATGAATTATTTCATATAAACTTCACATCAGAAAGAACTAACATCAGGAAAAACTTAGTTACTTCATATCTTTTTTATCACATCACTAAGAAATTCCAAGTTTGTAATGCAACACGGCTGCATGATGTTTTGAAGCAGGTGGCCACCTCCTGATCTGATATTGTTAGAGTAGGCAGCAGGTGAACCCTGAACAAGGAACCATTTCACTTGACTTTGATCCTTTGCAAAATGTTCATTGGTATACATGTAGATGTGCATTCATTCTATAGAACCTAGGACTGGTAAAAACTTTGCCAGTTGGCTTAATAACAAGGAATTGAAATGTTGATGTTCTGGTTGCTTACCTTTGAATTTATTTCACTTTGGAGTGGGCACATGAATGATTGGCAGTGCAAGCATGATAGCAGAAGCTGCAAAATACTTTTACAAGTATAATTTATATATCTAGAGGGCACTGGGGAGGAGTTTAGGGAGAGAAGGATACTTGAAGATTACCTTACATGTTCCTGATTCCAGGTCCCACATGTAGATATTGTTGTCTCCACAGCCTGAGAAAAGTGTGTCCTCCTAAGAGGGAAAGTGAAATGATGGAGTCCTCTATGTACATGTAGTAATGATATTAAACCAGTAATTGAAAGAATTCTCCTTGGCTTTCCAAATGATAAACTGCATGGTAATCTGTAGACTTGCAGAACTATTTTTTTTCAAAACTTGTAACTGTCAGTGTATGTAACACACTATCCCGACAGACTGAATGTACATGTCACACTTCATTGTGAACCATACAGGGGTAATATTGACTGCTTGACCTTGCATAAAACTTTTATGCTGTAATTTATTTAATTGTTGGCCCATGAACATTAACAAACAACTGCCTCTAGTGTAGCAGATTTTCATGTAACAATGTAAATCAGCCTTAAGTAGTCGTACGAATAGCACTGATTTTACTGATCTCACTTCCAGATTATTTTTAACAGTTGTAGTAACCAGCCCTCATATTTAGTACAATTATTATACCTGATCAGCAAATGCTAAAGCATTGGTCTCAGGGACATCCAGAGAAGTCCTTGACAAAAGAGAAACAAGAACCTTTATCAATACAATGAGTACTGGCAATTTATCTGCATGTACTAATAATTGTTACTTTAGTACTGACAATATTATTTATCTACTTCCATGAAGACAAGATATCGCTTGTGTCATGCACATGTGTTGGCATGGCCAAGGTCTTTTAATTAAAGGGGAAGTGTATGGAGACATGAAAATTACTGTGCGACAGGAAAACATGAGCATATGGTGTTTCTTGATAGCTTCAAGTTGAGTGATTTAAATGACCCTTTCTCATCTGAACATAACTGGCTATAATGGAGGCATGAAATATGTACTGTATGCCATTGATATCCAGGCAAAATACCAAAGACAATAAATACCTTTAAAAAGTATAATTTATGATAACTTGTATAAATAAAATAATTATCCAATAAGTAATCATTATTTATATATCAAAATGAAAATGATGTTTAGAACATCGAAACATTCGACTACTAAAACCATTTACCAGTATATCAAAGTATCAAAAATATTAATAAAGGAGTTATCTTACCTAGTTGCAGGGGGTTGCAATGTCCAGGCAGGTGATGGAGACTAAAATATGAAAAATAGAAAATTATGATTAACAGTGTACCTCATCACAGGTCTAAAGCATGTCAAGCTTCTGAGGTTTGGTATAGAGCTGTAAAAATCTACATTATGGCATGATAAGTGAACAGTTTAGGGACCAATCCAGCTATGCAACCAAATGCATAGCTTGTGTTACAGTATCCTCTACACAGGGCTTCTGATAGGTCGTGGAAAAAAAGTCAAATTTTGCGGGATTTCCAGAGACAAATTTGCCGAAAAAACAGCCGATTTTGCAGGAAATTCGCAGGAATTTTCGGGGCAAATTTCACTGAAAAACGATCGGTAAAAAACAGCCAATTTCATGGGAGTTTTCTGGGAAAATTTCACTGCAAAAGCGATCGGTTTTGCACTGATTTGACGAACATTTGTAACTAAAAAAGATGGCAATTTTGCCATTTTTTTTTCAGAAAATGATGAGTGTTAGCCTATGCAATAACAACAGCAACAGAAACACATACTACTTATAAGTGTTGTCTTTGTAAAACCGGCGATTTTGCAGGAAAATTTGAGCAACTTGTTTGGACTGTAGTATGTGTTTGTATTTGTTCAACAATGCGTTCAAGAAATGCGGCAGTGGCAAAGTCTTTTACATCGTGGCCACAGTGAGTGCCCAGTAGTTTTCGGATGTTGTTTACTCATTGCAGTGATGAAGTTTCACCATAAATTTGCAAGTTCATGGCAACTAAACAGCCCAACAGCCAAAATAAGTGTCAAATATGTTGCATGGACATGTATTTGGTACGATTTCTAGTGAATTTGGCCGTATTTTGCGTGTCTTAATCAATTTTGTGGGATTTCGCAGATTTACTTGAAATTCGCAGCTCCGCAACCATGCGAAATATCAGAAGCCCTTTCTACATGTAATTCCCTTTACTCAAGGATTTTAACACTATTTTTCTCCATTTCATTTGATACTTTGAATTCTGGAGTGAAAGTGTGCCTGATTCAAAGACATTTTCCATATAATATTAGAGTTGTTAAGGTACCACTAAATTCTAATTATTGACCACTTCAAAAAGGTGAATTATTTAATGAATTTTTCTAATCAACAAAATCTGCAAATAAAGTAGGAGGTTAAAATAATGACAGTACATTTCTCCTAACTTTTTTGCCAAGAAACCAAAAGATTGCTTCAACTTAATTGACAGGATCAAAAAATCAAGGGATTGAAAAATCAGGGTTCCACAGTAATCTATTAGCAAAATACAGACTGAAATTCCTTCAACAAAATGGTATAAACACACCTCTGTTTTATCAAGAATTTCATCCCATCGCCATCCATGTATTTCAGATGAACCACCACTACAAGCAGATTAAAATACATCAAACCAGATACCGTGCATTATCCTGGAACTTACAGTATCTAGTCTCTGTAGCAAGCATTCCCATTTGAACAAAAGAATATTTTCCTGATATTCTGCACCTCACTCTCCACTGGGTTTTGTGCTTGCCTCAATTTTAATGCAAACAACAGACTGAAAAGAAACTCTTTGTTAAGGAAAAAGAGTTTGCCAGGGGTGGTTTTCAGCCAGAAAATCACAAAATTTAAGTCTTCAGGCAGGCACAATAATTGTTATAATAATAATTTATCATTATAACTTTTTTCCTTTTTTTCAACTAGCATTCTCTATAAACTAAATTATCTCTGCAAACCCATTGCAGGTAAAAGTTTAGTCAGAGTGACATGTCTACACAAAATGTCAATGCTAGTGCAAGCATGGCACAATATCCAGGGCAACACTTTTAGCCAAATGGGCGTCCAAGTACACATCCTGTGGACAGCCACTTACAGTATTAAGAAAATTAATTTATTTTTCATATGTTGCCTTATAAATTGTTCAACTGAGCAGGCCACCCTATGGCACATTTTGCACACCCACTTTTCAAATCTTCACTAAGAGTTTGACACTATCAGTGGGCAAATGAATCCCCAATACTTCAGGCAATAGCAAATACTGCACATCTAGCAAAATGTCAAAATGAAAGGTAATTATGGCATTGCTAATGGATAGCAAACCTGCTAATGAAATGTTAATCTTTTAGCTACAATGTGCCAGCATTAATCTGAATGCATGGTAATTGTTTCATTATTTACAGAGACTACCGCAAGTGATATTAAATTTGAACATGATCCATATTTGGATACCTGATGAGAAATTTGTCTGTTGATATAAGACTGTAAACTGGGCCACCATGACCTGAAATGAGATTTCAAACACACAATGAACATTCCAGAAAGAAAAGTTAAAAACAAGTATGACTGTTTTTGTTTTTGTTTTTGTTGTAATTGGTTGATGGTAACAATCGTAAAATAACGAAACAAACAATGAAGTAACTGAAACGGTTCCAACTTGTACGTTTATTCTCCTCGCGGTGACGGTATGCGAATATATGCTTACAACACGATCTCGATAATACGACAGAACAAAACAAAAGGCTCAAAATACAAAATCTTGTATTACATCTCAATTGTTAACTCAGGTAACATAACATGTCACGGTCACACAACTATTAGTCTCTTAACAGTTTTTTTTTCTTTTTTCAGTGGAACAATAATAATTATGATTAACGTCCACTTAAAATTGGTCTTTCTATAGCAAAAAATGTCAGTATTAGAAAATTCCACCAAGTGAGGACAACCATGAGAAGTCAAAGAAAATGGTTCTGGGTTAGCCCCAGGAAATTTTCAAGGATATATATTGTGTTTCATTATCAATGATAAGAGTTAACCATAGATAGGGTAAACAGAATGCTATTCAGGCTAACCAGTAAACCAGTAGAGAACTCTTGTCTCTAGTTAACCTGAACTGTGCTTTAGTTTGTGAAAGTGCTTGAGTAAGCCTGTTTATGGCTAGCTCTCAGAGTTGAGAGCTTACTACTTTTTTCAGATTAGGTTTACTTAGTCCATGAACTAGTTGAGGTAGTGTTTTGTCCAAAACAAAATTTCAGGGTGAGTGTTTTGTCAAGAACAAAACAAAATCATGGCCAAGTGAGTCTGGCAGTCTTGCCAAAGTATTTAATATGAGAGCTTTCATGTAAACAAAGTAACTAAAGATATTTTGTGATGTTTGCAGGTAATGTGTCAAATGTAAAGTGTTAATGTTTGTTGGTTGATTGTTTATTCTGTGCAACGGTATAAACATTAGTTTACACTATGATAACCATGAAAAGAGATGCTCACCCTGAAAAAATATTATGGGTCTTTTCTTGTCAGAAGATGCATCAGGTGCCAAAGTAGAAACAATACTAAAAACAAAACAATAAGCAAACAGCTATTAATAGTGCTGAGTTGTCTTTAGCCTATGTTTTAAAATAAATA